AGATGCTCATAGAAACTTCCCCACCATGGGGCTTGTTCAACCATGAATTTCCAAATGAGTGGTGATGAAATTTTAAAATTTTTGAAAAATGTTGTAGCTCAAAATTGGCTTTCTTAAATATCTTAGCATTATCTGAATAAATTACAGAGCAGATTCTGTTTTGGCAACAAATCTTCTAAAGATCAGTAAAAAACATTTTGCCGGGACTGATGTCACCAGTTCTAAGTGAAGTTGCCTTTGTTCTGCACATGTGAGTAATGCGATGTAAGATTTTTCAGTTTCTGTACCACCCTTTTAAATAAATAGGGCCTGTGAAATTAACTCTGCAGATGTCAAATGGAAGCATATTTGAAATTTGATCTTTGGGTATTGGAGCTGTTATCTGATCCGCGGGTTTCACAACATACTTTTTACATATGAAACATTTTTCTGTGACTCTCTTTATCATTTATTCACCTTTAGGAATACAATATTTTTTTCTTACTAAAGTCTTAGTCACCATGCATAACTCTCTCATGCTCTTCCTTATCGTTAAAGGAGAGTTCAGATTCCTCTAATCCCCCTTTGACTAAGAATTTTTTATGAGTCTAAAAAGGGGTGCTAAAGTATAAATGCTGGAATCAGGTTTAATTTTAAGTTTACTAATCAAATTCAATATTCCAGAGCCATAAAATTGTACTCGTGCATTCTTATCCAAAATTTTTTCACCCTTTAAATCTCCTCAGTATTAAGCAGCAAATCTCAAAGTGTAAGAAGTAACTCTGTATAATTCAGTTAAACTTCTAAATCGATTTATGTCCAATACATTTTCTTTGGATTGTTGGAGACAAATATTATGTGTGGTGCATTTACTTCTCAATTCTAAATCTTGGTCTCTCATATGGAATCCATCCGTTTGAGACTAGTAATGCATAGGTTGCAGTAAGGTTCAGTAAATTTATGAATGCCTTTGATTTGGTTTCTAATAAATGATTTGAGTTTTGATGGGTCGCTTCTAATCCAGTGATGAACAATAGACGAATCAGCCCAAAATTAAGAAGTTAAGTCTAAGTTTGCATAACTTTATGAGACAATCTGCTGACAAGAATGCTCCCATCAGTTCTAATCAAGGCAAAGAAAGAGGTTTCAGTGGAGCAACCCTGCTTTTTAAAGTGATTAAACTGGCATGGATATCATCCTTAACAACTGTCAGATAAATAGCAATCCCATAAGCATTGGGGAAAGCATCTAAAAAACAGTGGATTTCAATTTGATTATTTTCTTTAATAACACTTCCCGTCATGTAGTGGAGAGGTACTGAAATCTTATCTGATTCGTAAGCTTATCACACCTCTTAGTCCAGACTAATTTCAAATGAGGGGAATTCTTCATCCAAACTCGTTGAATCAAATGCTTAATTAGAATTAAAAATGAAGCAATGAATTGTAAACGATCAAATATATGGCCTGCAACCGGTAGCAGAAACTGTTTAGAATTTATCTGTTTTGAGAAAAGTCGCGGAAATAATGAGTGTTGAAATGAATAGAGACCCTTTCAGTGTTCCAAGCAAAAATGCCTTCGGAGAGGAAGTAGATTGGCCCAAAGGCTCCCTGGATATTTCTGTTGACATACTATTTTTCAGACAGAACTTCGTCAGTTTTTCGGAATTTGTTTGCCATTTGTGCAAATGCATACTGGTTCTTTAAAAACTTTTAATAAATTCCTTTCTTGTAGTGAAAGAATGTTCTGCATCTTTAGAATAAGCATTTATGTTATCAACATAGCACAATTGACTCAATAATTCTGAAGCGAAATTTACTGAGATACTGTTTAGGTGGTGTTTTATGGTAGCAGAGTAAGAATGGGGAACTATTAATTCCAAACAATAGATATCTTGTGGCTTTGACATTTGGAATAGGAGAATCAGACAAAAAAAAACCATGCGATGTCTTTATCTTGCTCGTCTATTTGGATTTGAAGAAATGCCTGTTTGATATCGGTTGTGAAAGCTAGAAGATATTCTGTAAATCTCAGTAAAAAGGATAGAAATTAGGTTTGACATCTAAACAATTGTTCAAAGAAAGATTTTCTGCACTGCGATATGAAACATCAAACACAATGTGACCCTTACTAAATATTCTGTCATTACGGATAACCACTTTGTGAGGCAAATAAAATATGGGATGTTTATTTTCTTCACTTGGGTCCTCACAATCTGGCTCAATAATGTTTTGGACCAAATAGTCATTAATTATTTTTTTATATTCTGAAAATAGAAGTTGGTTAAATCGTTTATAAGTAATTTCACAGTTATTTCCTAATGAATGTTTCACATAATATTTCCACAGTAATTTATTTTTTTAACCACAGTAATTGTATTTTTAAAAAGTAATAATATTAATTTTCATAGTTCTCACCCCACACACTTCTCTGTTTTCACAAACGCAATTTTGGGTTTTATTTTCCCCTATTGTATTTTACTTCCGAAAGAAAACTTTTCTTTTTTTGTTTTTATAAATGTAAAATTTTTCTATTCTTTAAAATTTTCTCATGTTACATCTTTTATTTTACCCTTAACTTCTTTCTCTTGTTTCAAATGCTTATTGGTGTTACATCTCCAATTCTCAAAAAGTAAACTTATGTATATTTCTCTGTCTATGAAATTTAAGCTGGAATTTACGTGCATATGATTTTACTCTGAAGGCCTTTATGGATAATATTTTCTGGAACTTTAAACCAATGCATACAAGGTTCATTCTGTATGCTTTAACTTTCCATCTCGCGCGCTTGGCAATTTTACATGAGTATGCGTGTGCAGCGTTTTTTTTTTTTTTTTTTTTTACGACATTCGTTATTTTACTGTTTTTCGCACGAAAAATGACAGAAATGAGTGAATATTAATAAGAAATTTGTTAAGAAATAAACTATTAATCTTATTATTGCAAAATACAAATAATATCACATTCAAGTATTAGTAAATTATTTTTAAGTTCTTATGTTAGTGAGATGGAAATGCAATCATGTATTTCATTATGGAACATTTTTAATTTATTATTTAATAATTATATTTTTAAATCGAAGCTAATTTTAATATTCATCAAAGGCAAGTATAGACAAAAAAGGAAAACACCCTTGGTAGGAAAAAGTAAGCTTAGCATTACTTACTTCTGCAAGAAAATTTACTTCTTACTGTTACAAAAACGCACTTTAAACTAACTTTAAAATTTTTATTTATTTCTAAAAAATAGAAATAAAAGAAAATAAGGAATGGAAATTGCTATTGTTCTCACATCCAAAGGTTTCCTTGTCTTCCTTTCTTCATCAGATAATTCTTGAAGAATGCGAGCAAAATCAACTGGTTGCACATATTTTTTTGCCATGAAAACTGATGTAAAAAATTTACAGAGCCAAATGTATTCAAATTAAAATAATACACGGCAATTAATAACACAAAATTACAAAATATTTGAGAAAAAATATTTTCCGAATTTTTACCCACGAAGATATGTGTGTCGTAACTTAACGAAAAGCTGCCACGTAGCACAAATACCCAGGAAAAAAAAAAAAAACTCAGATGACTTCCTGTTGACACATTCCATGATGTGGGGAAGGGTAGAAAGGAGGAATAGAAATGACATTCAGACGTCTCAGCTTCGATATGCGAAAGATGTGCATTGAAAACTGAATTTGTCGTAAATTTTGCGCATACGTGACTGCTGGAAGGTTGATGGAATATTAACTTTGTAATGATTATTCTCATGTTCAAAACCACTTTCAAAACCCTGTAATGTTTTGCAATGTAATGAATCAGAAGTTCCTCTTTCAGGTTCAGTCCCTTCACTTTCGAATTGCGAAAATTTTTTAATTTATTCAGAAATCATATTTTCTTCAATAATTGCTTTCATTATAAGGAAATCGAAAGACCTTAACCAACAAGAACCATCCAAATAATGTTTCATGTGTAACAAGTTCCTTATAAATATGTTTAATCTTCCCTGTAAGAAATGAATAATAGTAATCAGCCTGCATAAGAATTGCAGTTTTATCATTTTGATATCCTTTGCAAGAATCGGATGATTTCAAATTTTTAAAGTTTTTCTCATTTCATTTTATAAATCTCAGTTGGAGACTAGACATGTGCAGATGAAATCTTTTCACTTTCTAGCAGTTCGTCTCATTAAAAGCTTTTCTGTCGACACTTTACCGCCAAAACAATATACTGAGAGTTCTTTTTTCGGAAGAGGTTTGAGTTTTATTTATTTATTTTGAATAACTCTACAGGATGCTACTAATGTGCAAGATTTTATATTTAATGCTGGATAATTAAAAATGTGGTCGATAAATTTGAGATAGGTCAAAAACAAAATATATATATATATATATATATATATATAGAAATATAGAGCACAAATGTCATCTAAATGTGCCATAGTTATAGAAATTTTTTTTTTTTTAAAAAGGACTACAAACAAAGTAATATAACATGCTTTTGGCTGTATAAAAAAAATATATTTACAGCTTCATATTAAATGCTCAAAACTGATTCCATCTGCAGGATATGCATATCTTGCAACATCAGTGGATAGATTAATGAAGGTGTTAAAATAGGTCAGGCCACTTGCAAACATGTGCTCCTACTATGCAATGAGGTTAGTGTGAAGGGCAAAGGGACATTCATTCTGAATGATCTTGAGATAATTCCAGATGGAAGGTCATCAGGGGACTAGTTGAGTTGTAATGCCAAGTGGCATCAGTGCTTCAGTGATATGATTCATGTACCTAACACAATTTCTAGTCAACATTACCTTCTAGCATGGTAACTGGCTACATATTCCTGTGTAAAAGTATTTTTTTTAATATTTCTTAACTATGTTTAATTTGATTAAATCATTAAAGAATTTTATGTTCTATGCAGATAAACTGTAATTGTTCTTTCTTAAATTACTATGTTAATTATTGACTTTAAAATATGAAACATACTTTTATAACTTTTATTTTTATTGATTTGTGTTTTATTTTAGCCAATCCTGAAAAAGTTGGTGACAGTGACAGATATGCTTTCCAAACATAAACAGCACTATACTGAGATGTTGAGATAGTATTACTTTTTGGAAACTGCATGTTTAGTAGTTGGAATAGATCTGAGGAGGCGTCGGCTAGACTGCATAATTTAGAATCGCAGTGTTTGGAGCCGTTTAGTTCTCTTTCTCTGCCATCAAGCAATTGATGATGCCAGCAGGTTCTGGCTTATTGAGAGTACATAAGTGATCATTATTTCCTATCAAGCCCAGCTTCTCCGTTTGCCTCTTGCCAAAGGATATAGACTGGTATTTGAAAGAAAAAAAATAATTAATAAAAGAGCTTGCAATTTCCTTACATTCTTGATTGAAAGACAGTATGTAAGTCATGCAGTTGCTCTTTATATTGGTGCTGTGTTGTGAAAGCAGTTGTCAATTCTGACTTCCATTATTGAGCCCTGTATGAGATGGATTCATATTTTACATTTTACATTGCCTTAAAGTGGCTGTTCTTTAACTTAATCATATCTGGAATAACATTTTTTTAGAATTGCTAAAACATTTAAGGAATGTATGAAAAAGAATAAAATATGCTTTTTTATTAACACCAGAAGATTGCTATTGCTATAAGGGGTAAAGATATAAAATATCAATTTTTCATTCTTATTTTTTGCTCTTTCATCATATTATACATTGATTATTCCTAAAATGTTAAGCTGTAAAGAAATGCATTAAAAATGATAAATATACTTTAAATTCTGGATAATTTTATGTCAAGGTAGTTTTTAACCGCACAGAGTTTAAACTTGCGCATGCATTATTGAAGAGGTTAGGTTAGGATGTCATGGCAAAAGGCAAAATGCTTATCTGTCAAACTTTCTAAGAGAAATAGGTTCTTATTTATCATTACAGAAGAATTTAATATGATTTCTATTATTTTGGAACATTGAAGAAAGCTAGATTTATTTGCTATATATGCCTAGCAATTTTTATAAATGGAGATCAATATCAGATACTTGAATTAGAAGCTTCATTTGGAATTAAAGTCTTATTGAGAGGGGCATGAGGATGTTAGATATGCTCCATATGTATGTTACCATATTTGTAATAAAATTTCATGTTTTTATTATGAATTCCAAATATGGTTTTAAATCCTTTTAATATAATATCTGATTTTATAACCGTCTGTTGAGTAGAACATGAGAAATCATTTCCAGAACTATATAATTTTTTATTTAAAGAAAAACCCACCTTTTCCACTCGTAAATGTTTTTAGTATTTATTTTAATTTTAAAAAGTATTAATTTTCAAGGCTATGCAAGTATTTTAATAGATTTGCGTAAAATAAATGCTATTGTTTTGCTGCTCCTACTTTAAACTTTTTATATATCAACATTTTAGTAAATTTAATTGTTCCTGCCGCCCTTTTTGTAGCATTTTATAATATTTAAAGACTGACGGTAGCTAATGATAATTTGTTTATTGAGACAGGTACATGGTTCAAACAATAACTGACAAAATAAAATAAAGACATACTTCTGGTGTTAAAATCTACAAAAGCAGATTACAGTTTTTTACATTTTATCTAAAAATACATTAGTAGCTATAAAAAAGTAGCAAAAATATAGTTTCATTTGTTTGAAAAGAATAATAATAGCTGATTTGTTTATAAATGTTTTGATGTCAATCTATAGTACATTAACATTATACTTCAAGTTACATATAAACTTTGTCTTAGTTTCATAGTTTTAATGATAATAAAACAGCTACTTTGAATCAGTATTGTCTCTAGTATGTTTTCATATGTGACTTTTTCTTATATTTAGTCAGAATTTTCCATTTTTTCCTTTATATATTTTTGTTTGAATCCTTTTGATATGTTAAGATTTTTTAGGAAGAGTCAGTGATTATTTTCTCCACATTACTTTATTAATAGCCATTGTGACAATTTGATTTTTTAATTCAGCATTTTATTATGATCTAGAAAACTTTAGTGTCATATTTGTTGCATTCAAATCTTGTTATAAGGTCACTTCTAGAAATTTGTTAGAAAATTACCATAAAAAGCAAAATAACCTACTAAACTGGAAAGAAGTAAAATAGTGTAAAGTTATGCAATAATATAATGCAGAAAAGCAAATAATTTTAAATATTAGAAAGCTCTACATCTTGCTCGCTAGCCATCGCTAACTTGCTCGTTTTGCTAACCTTTAAAAGCATGCTTCGTGTGGCTTTGGTTGACTTTGAATAAAATAAAAATTTGCTGAGTGGACTTAAAGTCCACTCAGCAAATTTTAGCTCAGCTCCGGCTGAGCAGACGACATTTATAAAATGCAAAAAAGAAATATACATGTGCATACAAGGCACTTGAAGAAGAGTCCACTTAGACCATTGGGCATTGAAATTTGTGTAACTTTGTGCAAAAGATTGTCAAAGTGTTGTAGAATTAAATATTCACATTATTTAGCACTTACAAACAAATGCTAGATGATTCAGAGGCTGTGTTAGATTTTATTACACTTTTAAAAAATTTATCATGTTAATCAAATGTGATCAAAAGTTATTCATAAAGAGCTTATTTGTGCACACTTATGGTAAAAAATAGAAAATTACAGTATTTTATTTCTGTTTATCTCATTTGTGTAGCTCTGAAAAAGATTGTCTTAAATAAGATACTGAGTTTTTTTTTTTTTTTTTTTTTTTTTTTTTTTTTTTAAATTCTACACTGAAACTGAATTGTCTTTGACTCACTTAGCATTTAACAGAAAAAATACCACCATTATATTTTAATACTTTGTAAAACAAATCTTCCTATTTTCATGTTATGCCATGATAAGTTTTTTATAAATAGTTTTATATTTACTTAACAAGGTGCTCAATCGTAAGCTGAAATTTCTGACGAAAGAATATTTTTTTTTTTTAATGCCATAAGAAAGCAGTTAAAAATAAGTGCAGTATAATCTGTAAACGGTTTTGCTTGCAGAAAATATTAGTTTACTTTTGAGGAAATATAAAAGCATACAATTTAGCACAGCAGTTTAAAAATTATGCAAGATTGCAAAGCTTAACATTTTATATGCATTTTATTACCACACTTAGAGCATGTGGCATATACTTATGAGACAATGTTATAGAGTTAAATAGTTACATTCATTTCATAAAATATATGATATTTCAAAATAAAATTTAATATAAAAGTCTAAAAGTTAATAAACAGTGACATTTCATTTGAAAATTACTTTCGCATTTTTTCTAATGTGCAGCATTGCTCAAAAATCTAAATTTTAAAACTTATTCTGAGAAGTCAGTATTTAAAGTTTCAGTAGCAGTGAAGTTGCTTGGAAAATACTAAAATTCCTTATAAGAAGTGCCCAAAGTTTTGTAAACTGGAGTGACCCTATAATAATACTCATATAACAAATCTAATAACCATGAACTTAAAAAAAGATTCATATTATATACGGCTGGCTAGGGCTTTGAAAGTATGACATTGTAAATAGCTTGATATTGTAGCCGTATAATTAAGTTTGACTGTATATGCTTTTACTAAAATTGACTGTAGTCTAGATATGCAAACTTGTATAACTTAATTTTTTTTGGTTTGTTTTCTCCCTATCAAGATCTGTACATATTTTTTTATGTGACCAGGTAATATTTATTCTAGATGTTAAAAAAGTTTTTATAAAGAAAAGATTCCTTCCATACTAAGTGTTTCTTTCTATTGTGATATTGATTTGTTCATTATGTAAATAAGCTTTGAAGTAATTTTTTATGTAATTTTCTTCTTATGTAACAGAAAATATTGCTCAAAAATAAGCGCACCAGTTCCTTGTCTATAAATCATGTCTGGATCCCTTCTATGCAGGGCTCTTATCATTTTTCATATGTAAATATTTTCTTTTGCCTAAATGGTCTATTCTCATAAGTTTGGGTTGCCAAATTCCAGTTTTCATTTATTCCATTAAAGAAAATTGTTACCATTGTAAATTCTGTTAGCATATTTTCTTATATCAATTCAACAACAGAAATATTTAACAAATATTTGATAAAAGCATAATTTTTTTGTTTAAAAAGTATGATTCTTATATGTGTAGATTTTTAATGAGAAAATTTCATAAACTGTTTCATACGTAATTTTTAATACCACTTTTGACTAATGAAATATACAGTACATCAGTAATCATAATTAATTGTTGGCATCTTTTTTTTTTATTTTTACTGAAATATTTTAGTCTGCGTTTAACTTTTTACAACTACGTCTTATAAATTTCAGCAGACACAAAATAGTTGGCTTAATAATATGAAAAGTGGCTTACTCTAAGTATGTTCTGCACATTTAATATCATTCATGTCTTAGGACTCCATTGTTTTTAGTTAAGATGTGAAATATTTATGGTAACTTTATAAGAATATTTAAAAATTTTGAAATTTGTATATATTGTATAACAAAGTTGTTACTATAGCTGATTGTATTTCAATCTTCTCTCTTAAAACAATAGAAGTATGTATAAAATATTAAAAATATTTGAAGCATGATCTCTAATTTATTGTGATGTTGTATTATTTCCCTTGCTGATAGATTTTTTTGTAATATTTGTGCAACTTTATGTGCAATGACCATGAAATGGTTTTCTTCTCTAAAACACAAATTGTAATTTCACAAATTTTGACTGCATTTATAATAAAAGAAAATAATGTACGAAATATTTATAAGCAATAAAAAATTATTTGTTTCCATAACCACAACAAACCAAAACCTATGCGGTTTAAAATTAAAACATTAATGCTGAGAGTATATTTTATTCAGGAATCTTAGGTACTTTTTATTTTATGGAATTACCTGTTGGTTATATAATAAAAATTATTTTCCAGTATACTGAAATTACATTTTATACTTTCTTTCAAGTATGTAAAATTTTTATTGTCCGTTTAAGCTTATATGTATCATCCATTAAAATTTTTGCTGATATGGAAACTTCGTTTAGTCAAGAGCATTTTGAAGATACCAAAATATAAGAATAAAAATATCAAAGATAATTATTTCAGAAATTTATTTCATGATACATAATTTTATTTACATAAGTTGGGTAGTTAGGCATAAATAGTTGCATGAGAATAGGATTATCAATATGTATAAAGTATTGAAATATTTGAAGCATCATAAGATACAATAAAAATTGATATACGCACAAAAAATATCTGATAAAATATTTGGATTTTGTACAATTATAGAAATTAATAAATTCTATAGATTTTAAGTGTGCAAGTTATTAATCTATATACTTTATTTAAAAATCCAGTTATTGAAGCTGTTGTGGTTTTATATATTGGATAACTAAAATATTGGACAAATAGAATGATAAAACTAATCCTGATTAAAAATTATAGATATAAAGGATTTTGCTTAATAACATTTATCTATCAGTGATCAATAAATGACTACTCTTTTGCTGAGTTTAAGTGCTCAATAACATTGCTTTTTAATTCTTTGCAAGATGGCTATCATGTACATATGGCAGAAGGGAATTCTTAAGTAAGTGAATACCACATATATATAGTTAATTAAATTGTTTGCAACAGCTTCTTTCATATAATTGTATTGGCAAAAGTCCTGTGCCATTCAGAAAGGATTAAAAGTATAAACAAGAAAATTCTGGAATTTGCTTAGTTTCGTAGAAGTCCTAGCAATTAAAACTGTTTCCATGTTGTCTTGTATGGTTTCATATAAAAAAAAAAATTACATATCTTGCATTCAGTTGCCCCTGTTAAAATCATACACTATTTGTACAACATTATCATAAATGATTTCTTAGTTTCTCTGCACATTTCTTTTGAAGTTTTCTAATGTAAATCCTTTTCATTCAAAATCTAGTGAAATCTCACTTCCCTGAAGTCTTTCACAAAGCATAAGAGAGATTTTGCATTGTTTAGCAACTTTATTGGAGTTCACAGAAACAGTGAACTTTAAACTTTGCTACAATTTATACAGTTAATAATAACACATGATCTCAGTGCTGTTGAATATACAAGGTGTAGTCTGTTACAGGATCATCATGATCTTAGTGCTGTTGAATGTACAGTCACTAATCTCTTACAGGACCATCATGATCTCAGTTCTGCTGAATGTACAGGCTGTAATCTCTTACAGGATTTGTAAAAATTGTGTAAGAGAAGCTGGAACTGTGAAGTCTTGTGTGAAAAAAATTAATGGAAAATCCTTGGATATGTGATCCTGACAGATATTAGCATAACCAGAAGGAAATATTCAGATATGTTAATTTATCTTAACAATTCTTTTAAAATTAATAACTAATTAATTATGTAATTTTATAATGAATCTGTATGCATGTTCCTCACAGCGCCACCAAATTTTGAGCACATATAGTCCTCCATCCGAACATGTGCAACTTGCAGCACGAATTTTGAATTTGGTTTTTTATTTTGTTTCTTGTATGAATTAATGAATTTTTATTAACAAACTTTGAGATTTAAAAGCAAAGTACTGCAATTTGGCAAAATGTAAAAAATTTTTGTTTCACATTTAATCAACAAACTCAGCAATTTAAAAGCAATGTGTTAGCATTGCCTGAAATAAAATATTTTGTTTTTCTTACACATCAGAGTTTTGAAAATCGGCAAAGTGCAAGTTAATTTTTCTTTTGAAGTTAATCTTATTTATTAATAAACTAATCAATAAATCTATTACATATTCCTAATTAGACTCATTAACATTAATAATGATTATTTTAAGTTATATAAAGAAAAACCACTTTTGCTGTATTTTTAAATGGTTGTTTGTCTAATCTTGGTAAAAAATGGACATGACATAATATTAAAAAAAAAAAAAATTGCAAATTTTCAATATACTGAAACTTAACTTTTGTGTTTCACTTCATTGATTCATGACAAACTACCTTTCAAATAGACAAGAATTGATGCAAAAATCTATAATACCCCCACAACAAGCCATTTCCAAACAAACACTCAAAAAGAGAATTATGTGCACAGTAACTGAACATAATGTCTAAAAGAGTACAGTATGTTGCTTGCTAATAATTATTTGTAATGTCCAGAATATTGAACTCTTTGACACATGCCAAACTGAGTGATTGAATGTGAACAAAATGATTTAAATCCAATAGATGACTGATAATTTATCTGAGTAAGTCATACTTTCATTTTTACTTGAAAAACAGAAAAAGTACATAAAAAATAGAGCAAGAGTATGATTAAGATAAAATAACATGCCAAACAAGTATTAATTTAAAAGTCAAATGGATTTGCATTTTGGCAGCTGAGGGTGATGGTTTGGTAAAACCATCAAAACTAGTCCTGTGAAAATTTGCAAACATAATGCCGATTTTTGTTGTTTGACTTCTAAATTAAAAAGAGTGTGATGTTTTAAATTCTATACAACTTCAAGACACCTGTGTGCTGATTTGGGATTGTTTCAGTTGCAAGAGTCTGGATCTTTTCATTGAGATGACAATGCATACAAATTGTAAGGGCTACTGTAAAACAGCTATATTACCTTTTGTGATCATGTTAGAAAAAAAGCACAAAATGGTTGCCTTTGTCTTCCAAGTTCGTACATGCATTTCATCTTATTTATAAATAGCATGAAAAATATCAAGAAATGATCCTACAACTTGAATAACTAGCTTTAAATCTTGCAGATCTGTGGAACTATTTGTAAAAAATTATAAAAATGTCAATAAAAACTATCTGACCTGTATGTGAGAATTGTCGTATGAAGAATGCACACGTGAGAATTGTGGTATGAAGAATGCACACGTGAGAATTGTGGTATGAAGAATGCACACTCAGATTTTGAAGTTCTTTCTTAGCCTTTTAAATAACATTTTATCAAAAGGTAAGTATTTGTTCCATGAATATATGTTTAGGAATTTTAAATAAACTGACCATTCTTATACTGATTTGCATGTGTTAAAATATTTCCATAGCAATTTAAGATTGTCATTTCTTTTTAAATACTAACTTTAAGAAGATTATGTATATTAAGACATTTAAGGATAGTATTCTGGAGGAAGATTCAAGTATATCTAGTCATTTTAGAAAGTTCATGATAAAAAAATAGATGTTTTTAGCTTATACTGCGATGATTTTTATTAAAAATTAGTTGCGATAGATTTATAAGTTTTCCCAATACGTTAACAATTAATTACATCAATGTTATAGATTTGAAGTAATTAAAACAGGGTTGCCACTCAAACAGGAGAATGAAATTCCCTGACTTTTCCAGATTTTCCAGGTGCGTTTCAAGAAAATTCCAGTCTATCCGCGTAATGTACGTTGGCTACGCTAAGAGGTAAATTATGGTATTACTTGTATTGTGTAGCAAATTCACTTAATTATTCAATAAATCCCAGAGGACATTTATTCTTAATTATTCTTGGTATACTTTGTTTGATAATTTTGTTTACTTTTCCACTTAAGAAACTTAATAAAATTTAAGATTACATTGGATAATAAATGTATGTTTTATTTAATTATTACTCATGATCATCACCAGTTCAACACAAGGCTAATCCGGTCCCTTATAATCATCACAACGCAATGCTAAATAGTTAGGTTAGATTTTAGGTAAATTTAATTTGTGTGAGGTATGTTTCTTAAAAAGCACCTTAACACTTGAAAACACAAATATAATTATAATAGTTGTTGTTTTCTCCATTGAAGATTGAGATTAGAATCTTCACAATCTAGAATAAAATAAGGCTTTTTTGGCAGACATTCTGCAGCTAAACAAAACAAAGAAATCTATTTTAATAAAATTGAGGTATTTTATATTTAGTCGCAGCATACATAAGAAAAAATATGTGTATTAAATTTCGTGATGGTATGTCATCATACTGCTAGAATTAATTTCAAGATTATGCCAGAGAAAATTTCCTGAAATTTAGAAATATTATTTACTAATAATTAATAAATTTAGAGGGAAGAAGCATCATTAAATTATACGAATAACATAAAAATAAAGATAATTACTTAAAAATTGAATTAGAATAATCAACGATATTTTAGCGAATATAGTTATATTACATGGTTAGCCTAGATGACAGATTACTATTTTTTATTTTACTGCAAAATGGCAAGGTATTTATTAAAAAGAAAAGTTTAAAAAGATTTTGCGGTAAAATTCTAGTATAAACGGTAAGGCTTTGGCACGATTTTGAAAATTGTCGCCAAGACCAAAATGACCGCGTTTACTGCGCATCATCATGTCGCCAAATCCATACATGGAGATTATTTTAAAAACCAAAAACGTCTATGCAAAGAATCTCTAATTCTTTGGTCTATGTAAAGAAGAAACTTTTCCATACAAGTAAAATGCTATTACGCCGCTAGAATGCGGAGGGAAAATTTGCCAAGGGATTTGGCGACGGAACCTGGCGGCCAGAATTTCCCTCTCCGCGATGTGTACCGGAAATTGAGAAACGTGTTAAGAAGAAACGTTCTTTAATAAAAACAAAGCTACGAAAATCCGTTTTTAAATTATTGCGAAAAATCCAAGAAGAAACGTTTATCAAAGGACGTTTCCTTCTTGGATTTTTCGCAATAATTTTAAAAACGGATTTTCGTATTTCCCCCCCCCCCCCGAAAATTACTAATCTATGAATTAATTTACTTGCGCCAAAAAATTTTTCTTTAATTTAGAGTTTAACTACTTGCGCTAAGACTAAACTTCACGGTTGCGGTGCCGTGCGCTACAATATATAGCAAGTGGTAAAGTGTCTCATTTACGCCGCTCGCCCGCATCTGCGAGTGCAATCCAGAGCTGTAACTCGAGAAATAAACAATCTCGTTGTTAAGCGACGTGTGCACCATGTTATTTTCATTTTTGCGATAAATGCTTATCCACGTGGTGTTCACGTCGCTCGCAGTTTGAGACAAAAACATCTCGACGTGCGTGGCACGTCTTTTTAGCGCAAGTGGTTAAAGAAATTTTAAAGGATATTCATTTAATGAACTCTTGATAACGTGACCTTCGAACTTCGACACCGGTTTCCAGCTTTGGCGGCAGATATATCACGCATGCAGTTTCCCTCTATGATGGAACGGAGCCACGTCTGTTGCAGAGAGGTTTTCCTTCTTTACAATACATATTCTTTGATTCTAACCTCCATCGTACCGTATACTAAGATTAAACCCATTTTGTTTTATACGAGAACAGGTACTTTCTTTAGTTCATGCACTGCACATGCGATTCTCGAGAATACTGGAAACCAAAAGTTGCGGGAAACTTGCTTTGCCTTTCTAAAAGGCAATCAAATTGGAGCTGCGAAAATTGGCTCTGTGCCAGCAGACACTCACGTGATAGGCAATTCACCAAAAAAGTTATCTCTTCCGACGTCGGCGCAAAAATCGCTTTTTTTGGCGGGATCATTGTATGAACTTCCCTGACTTTTCCAGATTTTGACAAAAATACTTAAATTCCCTGACTTTTCTGAATTTTTTGGTCAATTTTCGAATTCCCTGACTTTTCCCGGTTTTCCAGGTAGCGTGGCAACCCTGTTAAAATTACCAAATATATATGTTTTATTCCTCAGCATTGATTGCAATTTGTGATTAATAAGTAATATCAAACATTCAATTTAAAAAACATATTAACTGCTCATACAATTATTTGTTTCTTTCTTCACTGAGAGTTGCAATGCACTTCTTTCAAGATAAATGTAATTTAGTATTTTCTCCCATCAGTTTATAATAATATTTCCTTAAATAGATACATAATAATTTCCAACTAGCTGCAATGCAGCCAGCTTTTGTCTCACTTTTAAATGTACCGGAAAAATGGCTAAAGGGAACAGTAAATATTAAATTTAAAAACTGCACAGAATTTTACTCTGCAGAACTTTATAAAATAAAACCACAAATTTCAATAAAAATGTATTACATATATAAAAAATTACAATGAAATAAGCATTATCCCTTAATACAAATATTAATTATCCTAATAAATAAATTAACAAACTTCCCATTGTCTTCTGTTGACAAACGTCCAGTATCCAAGAGAAACATTAAAAACTGCACAGAATTATTGCTCTCATTTTTTGGAGTGGCAACAATAGGTGCATGCCATTGTTGCTGATATAAGGAGAGAGAACTACGGATTTGATGCGATTTCATCAAAAAACATAAAATTTTAAAAAATCTCATTCGAATTTTGAAAAAAATCGCTTTGAGGTGCACCAAATTTCATAGCCTTGGGTCTATTAGCTTATGTGCAGCATGAACGAAAGACACACACAGCCAGACTCTTCCTTTAAGATTATTAATGAGAAAAATGCCACACTGCAATCAAAAACAAATGATACCTCCAGTATTAATGTAGCATGTTTTAACTGAGCTAATCTGTAATTTAAACTTAGTTATCGTGAATCAGTGTTTACAGCACTTTGTTTATATTAGATTTAGATCTCATCTGAGTCTATGGCCTAGTGCCTTCATACAGATTTCTAAAATATTCCTCATAATGTTTTTATAACCATATTGTGAGGATGTACTTTTTTATTGAATACAGTTTACTTACAAAAGCATGAAAAGAAAAGTTTAAAAACATTATTATATAACATTTGGCTGAATAAGATGATGTTTACAATTCCCTTGATACTTTGCTAAATAAGATGATGTTTACAATTCCCTTGAAAGTCTTTGCACTACAACTTTCCTTTTTCGGTCATGAAGGAAATTGTGAGCTCTAAATACGTCACTACCATAAAAAGGTACTAAATTATGAATATTTACTTGACGTGCCTAGAAAAAAAATTTCACATTTATACAAATTTTTTTATATTTATACTCTTTTTTAGTTTACATATTGAAATATGACAACTATAATACCTAATTAAAAAAATTAGTAAACCTGCATTTTAATAAGAAAAATTTATAATTAATTATCAGCTATATTTTTATATGATGTAGGTATTATGTGAAATAACAATAAAAATTCAACAGAAAATATCACTAAAAAGAAAAGCTGTTTTATGCCACGTTATTACTACTAATAATGAGAATTCAGCTAGGTTTAAAATCAAAATATATATATGAATATTCTCATCTTTTGAATATATTTAAATTTATTTTTATCATGACTAATAATATATTCAAAAATAAATAAAACATATATTGCATTTACAATTACAGCAAGATTTGGAAAAATAAGCATGAAATATTGCAAATATAAAGAAACAAAATTTTGTTTCTAATTGCTGATTGAGAATTACAGTTAATCTTGTTGTCAACTGTAATTTACAAGGGCTGATTAAAAGGTTTTATGTGTACTGGAGTTAACACATCAACATATCTGGACATCAGTTGTAGAGTCATGACCTTCAGTTTTTGGTTATTTATGAACAAAAGTGCCTAATACCTTTTATCAGGAAAAATGCAGCCATTTTTATAAAAATATGGCAGGGATATAAATGAATTATGTTAAATTTGGAAAAAGTAATAATGAAACACAGCCATGCCATTTCAGAGATAATAGTAACACATGAGTGATCTACAAAACATGTTCTGATAGGAAATTTATGGTAACAACACTGGCAACTCACGAGCAAATAATAAATAATGGTTGGATGCATAGATGACTACTATGCACACATCTCAAAAATTCATTTGTATGGGCCACTGAGGAAGAAAACATATTTACCCTGGAAACAGGGATTTTTGCTCTGTGACATAGCTCTGCTGCATATATTTGCTGTGACAGTAGTAGCACTATATGAAATAAATGGGACAACACTAGTATACCATTCAATTAATCTAGACATGGCATCAGGTGATTTCTGCACATTCTGAGTACTAAAAAGACAAATGTGCCAAAACAGATTCTCTTCATGAAGTAAATAAAAACTACGTCACAATGCTTATTAGGAACGTAGCCAAGCAGGTTATTTCACGTTCAAAATTATTCATAAAATGCTATAAAACGTGTAAATTAATCCCCCCTGTATTCTAAAAATAGTAATCCCCCTTCGTACTGTGTCATTTTGAGACTAATCCATGCCATATGACTCTTACATATTTCTGCTGATGTAAACAGAACTAAAACTCAATCAGCCAATAATAATTTTACAGCAGTATTAATTATCCAATCAAAATGCATTGAAACCAAAACTAAGTCAATTAAGTTTTCATCCTAACATAATTCATTCGCTTGCTACTGGTCGGCCTAGCTGGACTGCTGTATGCTGCTTCCTTATTGCAAAGTTATCAAAAATGTAAACATCTTGAAATAGTGTGGCAAGTTTTTTTGTGGCCGCAACATGTTTAGTGAAATAAAATAAAGACTTAATTTGCATCGACTGCCAGTTTCCTGCTTGTTGTGGATAGGCATTTCAGCATTCTATGCCATCAAAATTCTTGCTCTTCATTAATGTTCTACACCATCAATATTGCAAGGTCCCTTTTTTAATATAATATATATACACACACACCCCCATCAAAAAATAAACAAACAAGAGCCCTTAAATTGTTTTGATTATAAATAAAAGAATTCAGCATGCATATATAAAACTCATTTTTCCAACATTTTTCTTGCAAAATTTATACATAAACTGTTGTTTTGCTTACTTTTTCTTGAAGTTCTTTTTCTGGAATTTCTACAGATTCTAAGTCTGTTGTAAAACGACTACGAAGATATGCAATTTGTTCTTGAATCAACTGTTTCAGAATGAACAAGAGTAATTCATTATTGTCTCGCTTGTAAGTCAAATATCGTGTAAATGTCTGTAAGAAGAAAAGAAATTTATTTGTTTAAGAAAAACAGAAACTAGTTTCAGCATTTGTGACACAGAAATTCATTGCAGAATAGGTAGTTTTAGCACACATTTTCTTCAAAATTTTACAATCAATATTTTATAAAACTAATCACATTTTAAAAACTGCAGAGGAAACAAAAAGTAAGTAATAACTTGAAGTGACATATAATTAAATTATATGATCTTTTATTGTTTTTAGGATGTCCTGCTGAAAATTTAATATTGATATTTTCAAAAACACAAGTACTTTCCTAGTTCTAATTTCCTTAATTTTTTTCATATATTTACTGTTTTCAATTAAACCATTAGCTGAATATCTTAATACTCATAGTTAAATTTTAATATTTAAAGTTATTTTATTATTTTATTTAAAAAACTATGAAAGTTTTTTAATTGGCAAAATATTCTTATCTTATATTTTCTTTTTATAAGCATGTTTGTACAGTATTTTAAATGAGTTCTTATTTATAAGTAATAAAAATCAATCTGTTATAGAACCTGGTGTTTGTTACATGAAGAATAAATTAGATCCATTCATGTAAGACTAATTTTTAGCCATGCGTTTTCCTGTAAAGGGGGAAGAGAAAATTTCTATGCTGCTATCATGTAAAGCCTTTCTTACTTCCTTTCCTTACTTGTGTGAGTAAAAAATTATCACCCATACATTCAATTTCAGTTAGCACCATTGAAGAAATGCATCTGCCAGAAAACCTATAATAAGTATGTTATGCTGCCAATCTGAAAACAAAATATTTTCTACTTAATAAAAGTAATAATTATTCAATTAATCAATGCATTAAACATTAAATTAGTACATACAGGGGTTGGAGAATATGGAAACACCAAAATAAAAACATACTGCTGTGACTAATATGGTGTATGAAAGTAGACATTCAAAACAGCTTGCAGTCTTCTTAGAATGGGTAAATAGAAATCTTGTATGCTTTGAAAGGGAATCTTGTGCCATTCTTCCTGTAAATTCTTTCTGGAACATTCAGTTAATGATGATGGCAATAAAGAGCGTTCACACATTTCTCTCCAAAATAGCCCACAAAGCCCAATAATATTGATATCTGGTGACTGGTGGCCATTGTAGATGTGTTCATTTTCATACTCAGAAAACCAATATGAGCTCAGTGAACAGGAACTTTTGAAAGATGGCATCACCACTCAGGAACAAATGGTTACCTAATCCTTGGGAGTAATGTGACCTTGCACAGTAACGATGAGTAGCACGATATAGCTGCCCAAACCATTACCGAACCCCCACCATGTTTTGCTTTTGGCAGTAAACGGTCTGTATCATATGCTTGGAAGAGGAATAGGAGCAATGCAGAGCTACAAATGTTTTGCAAGCTGGTTAATCAGCCATATAACTCTTTGCTACAATATACAAGTTCAGAGAATATTGATTGGCATTATTCCCCCCTTCAAGCTCCAAATTTGGAAGGCCAGTGTTAAATCCTTTAAATATTTTTGGAAGAGTTCTAGGGAGTCAAAAATTAGTATTTGAAGAGTTTTTAACCTTAACTGTACAAATAGAGGGAATCTTAATATCTAGACCTCTGGTTCCTTTGAATGCTGACACGGAGGATCTAAATGGACTAAGGTCTTTTGATTTCCTCAGTGAGAAGTCAAATTACTTCTGTAACTGAGCCAGACTTGACAACCATTAATGAGAACAGGCTTAGCTAATGGTAAAAAATAACTAAATTATTCTAGAATATATGGCATTTGGGTTACCTAAGCCATTTACAACAAAGATCACACTGGAAATTTGAGAATGAAAACATTAAAACAGGAGATATGGTTGTTTTAAAAGAGGATAATTTGCCTCCATATGAATGGTCAATGGAAAGAATAACTGAAATTTATTCTAGGAAAGATCAAAAAGTGCAAGTTGTGGAAGCAAAAACTTCTACAGAAAAATCCAAAAGGCCTGTAACCAAATTATATATTTTATCTTTTAATGACCTTTACCTAACTGAATATTTACTAACATTTATATATACTAATATTTAACCTTTACCTAACTGAAGAACTTAAAAAAAATATATATGACTCTGACTTGAATGTTTCGCAAACTTTGCAAGGCCCATGGGCGTGTTTGGGCATAAATGCATAATAGAAAACTGCACGCATACCTCTCTGCTCAGAGTTTTTGTGAAAAGCATTAAGTGTGTCATGAACAGCCAGTGAGAGTGCATGCAAATAAAATTGAGAATCCTCGAGTGTGATCCCTTGTAATTATAGATAATATAAAATGTCATTGTTCTATCTATTATTTTAATAAAATGTGTAGCAAATTGAAGAAGTGAATATAAATAAAAAGAACGTATACAATCTCTACTTAAGAGTTTATTAATTATGTATATGAATGAGCTATCAATGTGATAGAGTGCATATAGCATTCATATTTTTTATTAGCAAATTTTGGAATAAATTTGAGAATGAATATTTCTTCAAATACAGAGTGTATTCTTCCCCTAATATATAATGTAAGAGCTCCATTGCTATACTTTCCAGCTGCAAACATATCATAACATTACATATTTGTCTTTGACATATGTTTTGCACAACACTATATCCTGATTTCATATCACACAGTTTATAAAGATGCAGGAGCGGGGGAATTGCATGAAACATGATATAGCTAGGAACCATAGTCTAAAAATATTCACACATATTAATGGATTTTTAGAGTTGTATATTTTAACTCTTTTTAATTTGTGGTATTATAATGCATAGTAAAAGTAATATGCTTTTATTCTGGTGACAGTTAAGAGAAAACCTATATTCTTGTTGGAACAATGTTCTTTCTTTTCTTGTTTCGTGTACCAATTAGTTTCTGTTTATAACCTAAAGGTCATATTCAACACATCTTCAAAAACCTCTAATAACTTTGGATTAGCACCCAGTTGACACAAAATCAAAGTAGGTATTTTTGAAATTTCCTGTATTCCAGGGAAATGACCTATTTTCTTTCATGATGTTTCCTATTTGCTTAGTATGCTTTCATCTAGGTAATTTTTCACTATCATTACTTTCTATTATCAGTATTAAATAAAACATATGCTAATTTTTTCTTACTCTTCATAGTCCCTCCATTCAATCTAATCTGTAAACTCTTCAATATTCATACTAATTACGTTGATTTTTTTCACAACAGAATTTCCTTTACGTTAAAATATATATGTTCACATTCAATTTAGTAATAGCCTACTAACTAATAAACCAATTTATACTTCATTATTAATAACTTTAAAAGCATACTAGGTGTACCTAGTCATGTGTTATTCTGGCATGCAAAATTGATGACCAGCACTTCTCCTCATTTTACCACAAAGGGTTAATGAGAATGCAACAAAAATTTATATTTTTTGTATGGCATTTTATTCAAAATTATTCTAGTACTTGACTTGAAAACTGCTGGAAAATAATTCTATTGTGTTTTAATGACAATATTACACTAAATTCCTTTAAAAAAACAGCAATGAATTTATTAATATTAGTGTAAATAAAAAATCATTCTTTACCTTTCTCATCGACTTCATTACACTAAATTTCTGAGTATTAATAAAGCTCTCTAGCATAACTCTAATGGCCATATTAACATCATCTTCATGCACATAATCCCGTAAATGAATTCGAGCATTTGCTTCTGCCATTCTGATCATAGATTCAATATGTCTTACAGTGACAGGAACACTACCAGTAGCCTAAAAGTACAATAATAAAGTCAATAAAAATTCCAGCATCAAAATAAAATTAAAAAATTAAGCTTAATGCATACTATTTATTGTTTCACTCTTATATATATATATATATATTTATATTATAATTACTTTTTTTTTTTTCATTAAGTTAATACAAAATTCTCTAAGAAAAATTATGAATATATTAACAAACTAATAAGATATTAATGTAGAATTTTTTTCTTATGTTCCTTAAATACATGAAATTACTTTGTCATTTTTACTTCCTTGTACGAAGTAAAAAGGAAGTATAGTAATCGCGAAAAATTTTGGGTATCATATTTTAATGAAAATATCCACTTTGAGCACTATTGAATACAATTTAACGATGTTTTTGTGTGACATCTGCACATAATGACAGAATAAAGGACTTTTTCCTCCAAAAAATTATAAAACCAATTTAAAATGAATTCTGAAGAATTTTTTTTTTTTCATATGTATCTTGCATAACACAAAAATGAGTAGGCTCAGAACAGTGAAATTTTGTATACAGGATTGCTATAATGTGTAGATGTGCACATCCCAATTTGGTTGCAATCGGCTGCACCAAAAATATATAAATATATATATATATATATCCACTCTTAATAAGCATCCCAAACATATAATAATAAAGAAACTGGGCTCAGTGAGCTCGGTTTCTTTATTATTATATGTTTGTAAATTGTGCTTTTTTTCCTCTTTAAAAATGATTGAATTATGGTGTTCTTATCTTCCGGTTAAGGTTTTTATGCCTTTAGTTAACATGCATGCAATAATTGTGTAATTATCAACAATTTAAAAGTTTTTTAAGTGCGGCTAAGACTAACTTTTGTTTAGCATAGCAACCATATTTGTTTACATTTGAAACTTCGCAAAAGATATTTTGTTGCCAATCTAGAGAAACTAAGCTTCACAACAACAAAGTAATGGCTTCTTTTATTATTGCGACTTAAATTTTGCTTAATTCATTCTGAATTACCATTTAAGTTATTAACTTGTTTTTGCATAGAAACTGCAATTTTAATTGTAATTTTTTTAATTGTACTTGGTGTTTTATGTTTTTCTATATCTTTAATGAATATATTTTGAATTTTTTATGTACTTTTGCCTTGCTGCAAAGTGAGAACTGAATTAGTAGTGCATGCTCATTAGGTAAGTTGCGCTGAATCGTCTGTGAAAATATGTTTCTTTTTTATTTGTTTAATTTCTTTTATACATCATTTTAGATTTATTATAGTATTTGAATACACCATGTGGTAATTATGATATAATTTTTGTGCATTATGATATAATTTTTGAGTTATAAAGTGAATGGGATGTAATGCTGTTAAGTGAACCTAGCGCCAAAGTGTCGCTATGGTAAATAAATATAGTGAACACTAACGAATGCATTTATTCTATTGTGGTTTATACACTATCGACGAAGTAGATTTAATTCGAAATTTGGTAAGTGTTAATTCAATATGTTTAAATTAAATGCAGGAAAATTGCATATAATTTAATATTCTGTACAAGGAAGTCATATGGTGCACACATCAGATTTTTTTAATTTTAAAAGAGAACAAAAATTACTTATTTCAAAGTTTTCCTTAAAAGAGATAATAGTCCCTACAGCAGATTAATTCTTTTTTAACCCAATTCCAGTAAGTACGATTAAGAAAGAAAATTCAAATTATATGAGATTAAATTTTAAGGCATAAATTGCTGGTCCCTATACTAAATGTTAATTATTATTATTTTATATGCAATCTAGCTTACTATTTTGTAGTAATTTTCACTCATTAAAATAGTTATTTGATTAATTAATGTTAAATTTACATTTTAATAAATAATTAAATTATTAATTTAGCTGTTTTAATATATACATATTTCAAAGTACAGTTCAGTTAACATACATTTATGGTATTTTTTATTACACATATTTCCATACCATGCTTTCCCTGCGTAATTCACTGTATAATCTGGCAACTTTATCTTGATCCATTTGATGCAGTTTTGGATGTACTTTTTCTCTTGAATATATTATATACTTTCGAAGTAAATCTTGGGGTATTTTTTCAATTCCTGCCATGAGTGGATCTTCCTAAAAGAGAATGAATTAATGCATATATCATACAAGTTTTATCTAGTTAAATGCTACAAAGATCCTTGATGATTTCAAAACCAAAATAATACTATTTTTAACTGAAATCCGAATGAGCAACCATATTATCTAGAAGTAGATTTCCTACTGTATTAAATAGCTGGTCTTTTAACTTTTCAATGATTACTTGCTTGGCTAAAATGCACTCTGCATCATTTTACACTTTTTTCCTATATCAATTTACTTTTTGAATTTATACAAATATTATGAAAGATAATTATAAAATACTTGTAATTTTTCTCATAATAGATTTTATGCAATTAATATATTTAGGTTACTCATACGAAAAGTAAAAAAACATGCATGGAGACAAAAAGAACAAAAACAGGCATATGATGTTAGAAATACATTTTATTAATTACAATAATGTTGCAGATATTAACTAGACATACACCCTACACTTGTGATAACAACCACTTGCATCCTACAGGAGGAAAAAGTTAAGTCAGAAGCCACAACAAAATCCAACTTAAGTGTATGAAAATATTTTTGTTTTCCCTTAAAAATCTATATATAACACATAATAATAATTTTTTATTCACTTTGTAATCAAATGTAATCATTTATTTGCAACAAAATACATTGTAACTTTCTGTACATTCGTTAAAGAAAACATGTTCCATCTTTGTCAAAGATAGTAAATCATTTTTTGTGCTTTCTGACTTTTCAAAACATCCACACCCCAACCAAAAAGCCACAAAAAACTATTGATGGTGCAACCTACAATTTCAGCTGTTACGAATTTTTTACATATATGGATAATTTTAATGAAATTATGTGAAATTTTTATATTTTTTTATGTATAATTTAAGATAAAAATTTAGAAGGAGGATGCTCTGCCGGAAAAAGCAACAATACAGGGGCAAGTCTTTTTTAACATTGAGCAAATAGCTATCTTGCTAATTTGGCGATATATTGTCAAGCAGGCAATAGTTTTGATGACTAATTTTTGTCACCAAATTTGATGAGAAATTACCAAAAGCTACCAAACGTGGCAACCTTTTGGTCCGCTTCCTGTATCACAGTAATAGGTATTGCAATTGAATAACTGTAACTGGGTTTAGATGTTCTGTAACTATAATGCATGCCCTCCAATAATTTCGAAAAGCAGAAAGAGCTACAAATATCTCAGTGACCATGTGAAAACTATACAAGACCAGAGATATATAGTGCATCTCCTCAGAGTTGTTGTTGTGAGCTGTTCGTTCCAAGTGCCTTCGAAATATTGAAAGCTTTGCCTTTTAGATGTTCTTTGCATTATGTTGTATTTAATGTTCTTAGTAGTTTGAAGTGTAACTATTGATTGTACTCTGTGATACTGTGAAAATATGTATGAGTATTTCTGTGGAATGTTCCAGAACTCTGAAGTGTTCCTTTCAATAAAATAAATTTTATCAGCCTATCATTGAGCCAATGTGCATTCAATCTACTATAAACGCAAAAGAGTGCAACACCATAAAAAGTATTTATATGGCAGCTCAGGTACGCACATAGCATATGTGTGCGAGTATATGTGGATCAGTACTTTTTAGTGATAATTCAAACATAATTATTCTGATTAATACTTCTTTTTGCATTGAGTACATTCGTTTTTAGTAAGATGAATCACAGTGAAAATGAGAAGTTTGGTCTCTTTTTATCTTCAATACACTGGAGTTTCAACTATTCTTAGGTAATCATTTGTGGCCTGAGTGCAAAGCAGAGGTTGTGCAATTCTTCGATTTAGTTTTTAGAGAAAACAGATTGCTGTGTATATGGTGAGAACAAGAAACAAGCAGCACTGGATGCATCATTGAAATAGTTATAAAATAACTCAAACAAGTATTCTTTCTAAAGCTGATAGCAAGTTCCTGAATGCTCTCTAAAATCAGCAATGAGTATGAAGGAGTATGTAGATCATAATTAGAAAGTACCCGTAATTGTCAAAAATAAATTTTTCTTTCAAATTCATTCTCTCAAGAATTCTATATCACTTTTTCTATTGTTTATCTAAATCTCCAACACGAATTTGCTGTGCATCTAATATTCTATTCATAAATCCTACTGCCTCCAAATGTGCTTCAAAACCAGTACTTTTGAAAAATTTATGGAGATTAAAAACTTTTTGCCAAAGCCTATCTTGGAAGCTTAAAGATGTATCTACAAATAAGTGCTGTGTTTGCACACTTTCACTAAAAGGGAATGACTGCATATCTCATTTATTCGTTGCTGTCACGAAAATGGGAATAGAAACTTTCTTATGAAACCCATTTCAGATTTGTACATGCGTGTCAACGAATGAATGCCATATTTGTATGCATTCCTCTAGTTAACAATACCTGCTGTGATTAAACTAAGGTGAAAATGTGTAATTTATTATAATATGTTAAAGCAGTGTTTCTTAAACATTTTGGTGTGGGGGAAAAATTTTTTTGTGGTACCCCATAAGCATTGATGAAATCCGACATATGCACGAGTGAAACTGTCATATTCTTCATTTGTACTGTAATATACTACTGCAGTTTTGGGTCACTAACTTTAATCTTTGAAGTATAATGAACATTTCTATTATTAAAAAAAAAATATGCCAAAACGTTTGCCTTTTTTCTTTGTCTGTATTGTCTTGTTTATCTATTTGCAGATATATTATGTAAAAATATTTGGTAATCATAAAATTATAATAAGTTAAAGAAATATCAAATATTGCTAAAACTTTTGGTGATCCTCTACTGCAGGTCCTGCAACCTACAGTTTAAGAAACTCTGTGTTAGAGCACACAAAATCATACCCAAGATTGTATTACTTTTATGCCTAATAATATCAATACAATCTGGAGTACAGATTTTAATTGTGTACTTTAACATATTTTAATTAAAGTACATGAAGTATTATATTAAACTACACAATTATATATATGAAACAATTAACATGAACCATAAACCAGTTGAAAGGGCTTTTACTCATTGTTAACTTCAAATAATGGGGTACCTCTGTAAAGATACAGAATTTACAGAATTTAATTTAGACAAAATTCTTATTTTTTTAAAAATGTACTTGCTGTGTTCTGTCAACCATATAAACTGTATGCTTGTAAGTATAGGTAGAAAACCTTTGGGAGAGTGAAATTTCAATTACATACATACGCCTTTTTATCTTCCCTGATAATATGTAGCATTCATGTTGAGTCTATTTCTAGAAGGTAACATTCCTAGCTCTTTTGCTAAACACTAAGGAAATAAATCATTTCTCCCACATTCCTTCAGGTATAATGATCAGCAGCTGGAGAATCTTAAGTACAATTAAATATTCAAGATTTTCTGCTCCAAAAAAAATCTTAATATATACTGCAAGTGGAAGTAAAATTTGACTTAAATAAGATAATATTATTTATTAAAATCACATTTAACATAAGCCAAATTATTTTTTCACTAAGGACAACAAAACAATTTTGCAAATTATTTTCCTTATTCCTTTACAGTCAAAAATCGTTAATCCGGACTCGTCGGGACTTCGGCGATTCCAGATTATAGATCATCAGTTTAAATCTGGTAAGATACCATACAGAAATTTTAAAATTAAAAATATGAAACCGTAATTTATGAAATAAAGAACAATTATGATCTAAAGGGTATCAAAATATACAAAAAAAAAAAAAAAAAAAAAAAAAGCTTAATATATATTTGTTTACTTTATTAAACATTTCTTTCAATGTAAGTTGTTTAAGTTGCTTCGTTTTATGTGATAATACTTTCTCTTTAATTCCATAAACAGATATAATTTCTTCTTCAGTTACAAAGTTCTGCTGTTCAAGTCCTATGATTGCTGTGTCGAGAATACCGACTAATTTGCGAAATTTTTTCGTTTTCAATAACCTATGTGTCACTTTCTTCACTATCGGAAGGGAATTATAATGACGAGGAATTTGAATTAAATCATATCAAACACGGAGTACACCGAGATGAAATACTACATTTAGTAAGGAATTATAAGCCAAATAAAATAAAAACATCTGCCCTGAAGATAAGGATAGTGCTGACAGATCAACTTCCAATTCATTGCGCGCCGCGACTACTTTTATTAAAGTAGATTAACATTTGTTTAAAATAAAGTTCTATTTTTTTTTCTTTTGCATCATGCATAATACTTATTAACATATTACTGAAAATGAAAAATAATACATCTATAGTTCACACTCAAAATCAAACTTAATTATTACTCAATACAGTACACAAAGTCCGAAATCCGGACCTCAAAACCACCAAAACCATTTTTTCTCGTAGGCTTTACGCATGTGCGTTTGATTCCCCCCTTCCGTGCATTATAAAACATCTGGAGAGTCCCGATTCTTAATTTCACTTCGAAATTAAGAACTAAAATACCTTGTTATTAAAGAAACAATAATTTTAGCATAAATTTGTACAATCAGTAATTTGGCTCCATTGCTGCGTATCTGCTTTGGCACACATCTCAAACCGAAACATTTGGGCCCACCAGCGGCCGAGCGGTAAGGTCGCTGAACACTGGTAGTTCGGTCCGAGGTTCGAATCCCGCAAACAGGCTGGCTGCATGGGGTGTTCTTATGGTTTTCCCCATGTGTAACGTGTATACGAGCCAGTTTCCCTTAGAATGTCCTCCACGAAGGCATCTCTTCCCTTAGGTAGATAGCCCTCGAGGCTTTTCCGTAATTAAATAACCTAAATGAAACATTCCACATAGATACATCGTTGATCTGACACCAACCTGGCGAATCATTATTTATTATACTTTCCTTTTAACACCACATGTTTATCAAAACATGACTACTTGAGTAATGTGCCTAAACAATTTTTTTATATTAATAATAAAGGAGTATGGTAACCTTTTATGTCGACATCATGATTGGTGATGATTACGGATTTAAGTTAAATGTGCTAAAAAATGTTGGCGAGGAAAATTTTAATTTTCTTTCCATATGCTAAAAA